CTGAGCTCGAAGCTTCGAATGCCTCATGACCGGAGTGTTCCGTGGTCGAGAGAACTTCCGTCGCTGCGGAAGAGCTGCGTTTGAGAATTCTCGAGACGATGCCATGCTCATTAAGCGACTCAAGCGAAGCTTGGGGACCCGGATAATCTTTCTGACGATATCAAACCCATCTTTCGATCCCGGCTGCTATAGGTTGATTGCCTCCTCCTTTAGGTCAATGAAGACGAGCCTTCGAAGCCGCGTCAGTAATGAACTGAGAATCTTCTCCCTTCCAGTGTGCCCCAGAGGTAAAGCGTCTGTACCTTGGTCCCATAGACCTGGTCGACAGGGTAATAGTGGCCGCTTACGGTCTCTCGAGAATCAAGATCGCAGACCACTGTCCTCCGAGCTTTGGTCTGGCGATTGGTTCCGAAGCGTTTGATATCACTCCCCTTACGAGCCCGCCCCGATTTCCGGACGTGATGAAAGTTGAAGACCAGAATGTCGACATGACCTGTAGGTGACGCTTTCCAAGCTGGAAGTACCTAAATCCAGCCGCTGGACTTTTTGCCCAATTGGAGAAAGCACACGGCCAACAAGGCGCATACACGGCAAGGAACCGATCATTCATCCCTCCTGAATCAATACAGTAAAAGCTCGTTATAACGACCCCCATTACAACGAATTTCTCGGTACAACGAACAAGGAATTTTTCCTCCTTTGGCCAGCTCGCCATAGGGATAGTGCTGAGCGGCATTCGTTACAGCGAAAACTCGGTACAACGAACTAGTTTCGTCGGTCCCTTCGTGTTCGTAGTAACGAGCTTTTACTGTAATGCCATTCTGTCAAACGAGCGTGATGAACGCCCATCTCTTCGTCGGAGCTCCTCGGAAGCGGTGTCATTTTAATCCCATGTACAGAGTTTATTTCAAGCACCGATGAAAAAGTACTATTGTTGCTCTGTTGACGATTTACTGTGTCTTCATTCGCTCGATCCTTGGCAGGACTCGTGACCCTTGCTCGTCTCATTGTACGAATTAACAAATCGAGATCCGAACTGCATGGCTCTCTTGGATCGCAAGGCTGTCTGTTTGAGGCCCAGGGAATGGGCGTTTGAGAAACGCTGAGTCAGAGGTTGATGTGGGATCACTTCATGCTGGCCTGATCCCCCGCGATGAGATGCATGCCAAATGCCAAGGCAACATCCGTTGCGGTAGATTCGAATAGAGCTGACGAACATCAAGGATCCTAGAAAATCTCACAATCAGTCTCACGTAGCAATGCGGCTCCGATGAGCCACAGAAGGGTCGCCTATCGACGGAATAATCGCTTTCAAGCGAATTGAAGAGGAAATTCGGCGGCCCTGGATAAGCATTCGGTTTCCGGATCCGAACAATTCAAATGAGTCTCCCTCTCCCAGGCAGGGCATCGCTAGAGAATAAAGAAAAAACGAATCGCAACGGCAAAATTATTGAATGACGCACTCTCGAAGTCCCATGGGTGAGTTCAAGAGAGTAGGGCGATGATCTCGTCTAGTCGTTCTCCATTTCAAATCAGTGAATTCAACGCAGAATCTGCTCTGCGAAGTCAAACTTCGTCCGCTTCGCCGAAACTATGGAATCTAACAAAACTCATCCAAACGAGATCACACAGCCACTTATAGTACCAGGAAGCGACATTGAGAGCTATCGATGTCGACGCCTCCGAGAGATCAATTGCTTGCAATGTGAGACGTGAGACATGATGAGGGACAGTGGATGAAAACTCAGCGGACTTGCGGGGAACGAATACATATCCTAAGAAGAAATCGCGTAGGAGTCGTCAGTTCGTGTGAGCGGCCGCGGAATTCGGGACGTTGAGTAACAGAAGTTGTCGGAGCGGCTGTGTCGAGTGCGACCGGAGAACGAACCGAGATGGCCGGGAACAAGCATAAAAATGATCGTGAGCAGAAACAGAGAACCGAGAGTGCTCTCGGGACGCCTGGGAGAAACGATGACGGAGGCGGCAGCGAAAGCACGCTGAACAATGGTTCGAGCCCTTCAAGCTGGTTACGGACCCCCGAAGTGGTCTTCAGCGAAACAAAGAGTCGCGAGCAAAGCAACTCCTCACGCAGCAACACCAACATCGGCGAAAGGAGCCACCGAATTATCCGCGCGGGTGAGATGATCGGCAATCGGAGTGACGGCAAAATCTGCGAAAAGGGGAAAAATCGGAATCGACGAGGATCGCGGGGCGGACTCGGCGCGGAAGATATCGGGGGGAGCTCTCGGCCTAGACATCATGCCGACGTTCGACCCGTAGCTCATCTATCGTCTTCTAGGGGAGCATACCGCGACCGCAAGTCGCGAGATGAACGACAGATTCTCGAGCGATCTGGAAGGCGGGGGTCGTCGACGCTGCTTCGAAGGGGGGGAAGAAGCAACAACGCTGAATCGAGTACACCAGAGAAAGCCGGGAAAAAACTCAGCGGTGGAAATCGGAGGGCGGGCGCCGAGAATAGAAGAATGTCCAAAGATACATCCATCGGTGATACCGGACTGGGATCTTCGATCACTGAAACCAGCAAAGACCTGTCTAGAGTCCCTGATGGAGTTGATGACGAGCAGCATCAGAGTAGCGAAAATCCCGACTCGGACCATGGCTCGCAGACCGCGGGAGACTCGGACTCGGAACACCTCGCGAGTGCCCCGACCGACGTTGAAGGAATCGAGTCTGGAGGTTCGGAGCGAAGCGAAGCTGAGAATGACAGCGTCGAAAATTCTGACGACGGAGAAACAGCTAAACCCTATTATCAAGCCGAGAGTGATTTGATGAAATTCTTGGCAGAAGCTTCAAGCGACGATACAATTCCGGATACCTTGATATCCGGTCCTTTGGAGGAGAGACCCACGCGAGGACCTGCGAGGAAACGCCCCGCGAAACGGAAGAGGAAGCAGATGGATAGCGAGGAAGAAGAAAAATTCAGGATGGAGGTCAATAATTACGTATGTTTTCCCTCCTCAATATTCCCATTATTAAGCATCGAGAATCCGCTCTGTGGAGTTTCGCACTCGCTTCGATTGACAGAAACTTTCTACCGCAGATGTCGAGTTTGGGCGGCTGCAAATGTGGCCGGTGCCGGAGACCCCTGTTCGCCTGCAATTCGGTGACTAGATGCGGCGAATGTTCAGAACCCTTGTGCTGCGACTGCGAGTGCGAGTGTGGAGGCAAAGCAGAATCGTGGTCGGAGAGCCCCGAAACGTCTGATTCGGACGCCGACCGGTGGTCGCCCCCCCGTGAATCACAACAATACAGCAGTGATGACAGCGCTACAGCAGGGGAGGATGCCGAAGATCGAACGGAATCCTCCTCGGAAAGTCCGAAGGGCGATAAAGATTCATGATTTTTTATTGGCGACGTATTGATCATCATCGTGTGGGCTGCCACTTCGTTTGTTCCGAAGCAGATCCTTCGGAGTGACTCCGCACCTTACAGCGGCTGACATCGGCCATTTCTCTTGTATGGTTCCCGGTTTCAGAAAAGGGAATCCTCATCGTCTGGTGAGGCTGCCGAGCTCCGGGACGGGCATTGTCGCTCAAGTTGAACCACTCGCATCACCGGCCACGGAGTGGTTGGTGGCAGGAAAGATATCCTGAGAGACGAACTCCCTTTCATTCGCGTGCCGGAGGAGTTTATCCTAGATCGAATCGAAGTATCAACTCGATCTTGGGAGAAAGACTGAACACTCACTCTGAGGTTGGATATAGTATTCTCCGAATTCATCAATTCATGCAAAAATATATTGGAGTCGCCTGTTTGGAGCACGTGTTCGGCCTTCAGTTATCAGGGATGAAGATTTGAAAAATGAAAAGAATCTGGCGAGAGGAATAGAAGCGACTGCTCCCCTAAGGACCAGTCATCGGATCCATTCGTGAGATGGATTCACCAAGCGAGAGCTTCAATGGCTCTCCGCTGAGTTTGGCCGCGCTCCTGCTCCAGAAAATCAAAATCGCTCCGCGGGAGCATCACAAGCCGCTCATTACCTTCGACTGCGTAGATCAGCCGCTACGTCCATCGCTGGGTCCAGAAAGCAGAACTCCTGAATTCCGAAGATCAGGCCACGAGGATGCCAATGATAAGAGAAATCGACCACGTCGTCGAGTTGCTCTACATGGGTATGATCCATCAGTCAAAGTATACCGAATTAATCTGAATGAATTATTAAACACCGAATAAATTACTGGAGCTGTACACCGCAGTTGAACGTGTGTGGTTCTCTAACCTCACCGATCTTATGCCGGACGGGAATGCCTGGAATGTACCTTTCTGAAGAGAAGTCCGGAAGAAATCATGCACGCCAGTCGAAATCGCACCGGGGAAGAAGATTGAAGGTCGTGCGCGTGAGAAAGATCAGTGTGTCAGTTGTCGTACACTCGTTCTGGCGAAGCTTCAAATGATTTCGTCAGACGAATCAGAGCCAGGAACTAGGAATTCCTCTTATCTCCGATTGGTCGGACATCCTTGAACGTATTCAGCGCGATAGTGGAAACGACATCAGCTGGCGAGCAAGTCGATCAAGATCACTCTTCCGAGATCCTCAAGACGGCCGTCCTGGTCCAGGTTGTAGAGGGTTGCGTTGAGCTCTCCGAATTACCTGAGTTGCACTGCTGCTGGCGGGAAACGATGAAGCAGTGAGCACCGATCGCCCTCCACTTTTGATTCCCACTCGACTCTCAGAACAAAGATATCAGCTTATCGATTCATGTAAGGAACAGTGAAGCTCTGTTAATGGAGGAGTCTCCCGGTATTTCGGCGCTTCCGTCGGAGCAGCTGGCTGCCTTGGTCCCTTCTGCGACACGAGGCCAGGTCTCGCCGAGCAAGGGCGATCCATCGCAGCGAATGTTGGGGAGTCCTAGAGCTCTCGCCTTTCCCAAACGACGATCCTGACGGGAGACAGCCTGCGTACAATCCGAAGTGTAGGTTCTTGCCGGTGTCGAATTTACGCACATTTGGTGAACGTGAACGGCCCCGGAAAAGTCTGATCTCAAGAAAAAACACAAGATGATTTATTCTGGGTCTCGCTTTCTGACCTCTCGATGGATCAGCGATCTGACAGGATTGTCTCCCATGAGTCCGAGGGGCAAAGAACGGCAACTCGAAGGCTCCAATGAATTAGATACCATGAATATCGGAGGGGCTCCGGTTTTCGTTCGTCTCGGAAACTCCCAAACATCTTTGATCCCGGTACTTTATATAGGGCGTGAAAACATCGAACCCGAAAGAGATAACAGTGTCAAAAGCTAAACGGTATCTTAAAGGTAAGTAATAGAAGTTGAATGCTTGAGCGATCGGCCACACGAGCCATTCGACAACATAAACTGTTCCGCCTTTGTCTGAAATAGATTATATGAACAATTTTATTCATAAGGACGATGATTATATCTATGAAGGATTGAAGAGTAATAATACCCGGGAACGGGGATTGCTCAACATGGCTCGTTCGAAAGCGGGCTTCATCTTCGATAGCGACTCGCGGTGCCGACTCCCTACCCGCTAGTTCCTCCTTGAATTCACCCATGCTCGAGCCCTCGAGGGCAGCAACAGTCCCGAAGTAGACGGTCAGGCAAACAGGCGAGAATAGAATTTGGTCATATAGGACCTTCTGAGCGATAACTTTGACGCAACGACCCTGCCACCAACGGTCCAGCAAGGCATACCAATAATGAGTCACGACACCTGAGAGAAACGAGAAATCGGTTAATCTTACGGGCTTTCAGAGCCGACTCACACTCCAAGATCAGCACGGAAGACGACTTCTCCCCTTGATTCAATCCCTTCGCAAAACTATCCGGCTTCAGTATATGGATTCCGAACCCGTCGTTAAGCCGGCAGCCGCCATGTGGGAGGAGCGTTTCATTTGGAAACTCTCTTGGTATCCTCTGGAGACTTCGTAATACTGCTGCACCCCGTCTCCAGCGATTCCCATCCCGGTCGAGATGACGGCGTTGGTTATCAGAAGATGTTTCCCGAACAGCTTCTGCGTTACCGCAGAGACTTGTTTGCCGACGGCGATGAGGAATAGTCTCATGATCCTTGTGCTGCAAGTGAAGAGTCAATTTTCGATTCAAGCTCCCTACAGCAAGGGACTCTGCTCAGTATCTCACATCTGATTGAAAGGCTTTATGGTTTGGTACGGAAATGCGAAAACGATCACTCTTGACTCCGCACACCCGAGGAGAGTTCGCAAACCTGGGGCTTCGAACGGATTGTTCGTAATTGCTTGGACAAACTTCACTTCGATTCCATGTCGAAGAGCTCTCGAAAAGCGAACTTGAGGTCGTGGCTCTCCAGATAAGCGTTGAAAGCTCCCAAGTCCATATGCGGGCGTTCACCTGCTCCCTGAGTAGCCTTGTAGCACGACAGTTCCTCGAATCCTGGAACGGAGAACGTGATGATTCGCCGTAGGTAGATGGCGGGATGGGCTTCTGGACATCACCTCCCGATATCGGCTGGATCGCTTACCTTCGAACCTCCGCTTCCTCACCGCTTTCTCTTCGAATTTCACCCTGATGCGCTGCCAGTTCCAGCTCTTGATTATGGCGACAGCTTCGGTACAGCTTTCCGCATCGCCCTCTAAGCAGATGACTCCCGGCTTCCCCGGTAGAGTGAAGCCTCCGAGGCTCTTCTCTGAACTCAATTCCAGTAGATTCTTCCTCTTGACTTTATCGTAGATGTGATGAGACAACAACCACACCCGGGTCAATGACGACGAGCGGGACTCGTTGGGTAGCTGAGAGCGTGGAATACATTATTCGGATCTTATTCCTGATTGTGGCTCCGGGCTAATGTGATCGCTTTGGTAGGCGAGGAGCGGCTTCCCTGAGCTCGACGGAAAGCATGTCCGATGGCTTCTCACCTCACGAGGTTTAGGCTGAGATTCACAGTTTTCTCGGACAAAGTCAACTACGAATGATACGCAGAAAGTTCCCAGCTCGTGTTCATCTTGGAAAGTTGAGACCAAGTCTTGGAGCTTACGATTCAGGTAAGAATGATTCCGAACAGCCACGGAAAATCGCAGCGATTCGTGAGGATAGTTGTGAGGCAGCGTGACCTCGACTTCAGCAGGCGGGATCACATCTGCTCAAAATATGCTTCATATCATCCTTATGGACCAGTCTCTTCTACAGGAGCTGAGCTGGCTCTCAGCTCGCGAGCGATAGATCCGCCCTCTCCTTGTCGGATCATAAGCGAATTAGCACCAGAAATGCAGAATTCAGAGTTGCGGAGCCGATACTTGCCATCCAAGCTGATACAGCAAGTGATTTGATTATAAACATCATCCAATTTCCCCTCCAAGAAAGCCTGGAACTCCTCGACGACGCTGTGCGGGGAGACCTTCACCGAATCGTAGAGGCTTTGCAGGAAGTCGACCTCGCTCAGCTGGGATTCAATATTCTGAGTTCGTGCGATCATCACATTTTTCGAGACCTAGCGGTAGTCACATTCCAGCCATCATCGAATCATACTCCCGATTCCTCTAGGCAGCTCGAAGTGAAGGCTGGAACGGATAGAATTCGATCATCTATTCCGAATTCCCGCCGGCTGTTCCTCGCTCGAGCATCGATCAGCTGACTGCGTTCAGACGCTCACCTCAGTTCCCGCTGATGGAACACCACTGATTATCCAACCTGACGACGTGTGGAGCGGACGTAAGCGTACCTTCGGGAGTACGATTCGAGAACGGGATTTTCGAGCGGTCGCGCGGGAGACTTCCTCCCCGGTCACTCGCTCGTGGCCGGGTAAGCAGTTTCTACACAGTCGAAGATTTCCCACTCGGTTCTGGGATTTGTCGGGGAACATAAACAAAACTCACTGCGGTGCGCGTTTCTTCGGGTGCCGGACGATTCCCGTCGGTTCGCGATAGGTTTGTATCGCTCATCTCCGGTCAGAGTCATTCGATAGAATCGGGAAGCGGAAACCAGTATCCTGACTCAAGATGTAGACTAAGCTTTAGACCCTGATCTTCTTACTCTCCGCTCCAGGGTGAGCATGGCGCTGAACTCACTGGGACGCCTCGGATCGGGATTCCTCAATCTCCGGAACCTCGTGAGTCCTGTGGGAATAAAACCTCTCGAGGGTGTTCTGACTCAGGTCAGAACCTTCAAAGACGTCGACGTTCTGGCTAAACGCTGCAAGGACTGCTACTTCCACAAGGATGACGACCGCTGGTGAGTGGAACTATAACATAATTTCTTATTGGAAAATAATTGAAAATTCTCCTATCCGAAATTGGGGTATGGCGGAATTGCCCCCAATACTTTCGTACAGTGGAACATCATTCAAATCGAGTGATCACTGCCAGGAGCGGTGGATATAATCGAGGTTCCATGGGACGTCTGTGGATCATCAAAAAAGTGATGAGTCGAGATGAACTCCCGGCAGCCGATATCATAGGGGTCGACATGATCGAGCTTCTACTGTATATCCTCCTTCTTGTAGGTACGTTCTCTGCCGAACTCATGGACGACACAAGCAACGTCAGAAAATCGCTGATATACGGAATTTCTGGATTGTAACGCACAAAACACACGGACCGAAGAAGAGATTCTGAGCTCTATCGTTTCGCAGACTAGAGAAAATTGAGTATTTTCGACTGGAAACGGCGAAATAAAGTTTGAGGCTGAGATTCAGAGTCCACCTCATCGATTACCCCCTCAAGGTTAAGGAGGACCGGACCCGCACGTTCACGTGAGAAACATAGTCTCTCGACCAATTCAATTCTAGATCCTCTGGTCAGCTCAAACAGTACGAGCGTTGAGAAACTTGGCGCCCTCATTACGAGCCCCCGGGCGCCCGGTCTGTTCGCCAGAGGTATTGCCGATGGTGAAGTTTCTTCGGTATACGCAATGTCAATCACTGACGGCTTGAAGAGGATCTCAATCCCAGAATAAGTTCCCCCGGCTGGACGGTCGAAGCCAAACGAACGGCCCGTCGGGCTTCCCGGATGAAGAAGAGTTGACATTTCGGCGGTGCGCATCCGCTCCTTTATTAGCGAGAATTAACTACGTTGGAAATTCATCCCTCATTCAAGGGCTTCTCCGGGGAGTGCAGTGAGCTCCTCGAGTTCCTCCTGAGTCGCTCGAGGCCCCCGATCGCCTCTAGCTCCTATCGAATAGAAAACTCCTTTGTCCTTGCATTTCTGTATCGTTTCCTCGGGAGTTCCAACTGAAAATTCACAGATTGCTCAGAGCCCCATTCGGAACACAGTGCTCGCGTGCACGCTCGCGGGAGCTGCTCAGATATTCTCTCCGATAGGTCGAACGTAAGTTTGCCGCCCGATGAGGGGGCACTAGATTCTAGGTTCCAGATTCTCGATGATCTATAATCATGCAGTTTCGGAGGATCGATCTGACTCTGCTCCTCCGGGGAATACCGCTCAACTTCCCTGAAACCCTCCGCTTCCAAACTCACTTGAGCCTTTGGCTGCGAGGTATATACCAAGGCCGAATGTATTCCAAGCAAGAATGGCGTAAGCTATGCTGAGTGCTTTATGTCGCGATTGGTTTCCCGGTCCGTGGTAGAACTTCAGAGCTCTGTACACCCGAAAGAGAATACTCCGAGGGTGCTTCCTCATCCCGACGAGGCTTCTCCCTTCGAATCACTGCGTGCTCAGCGAGAACCGGAGGCTGCGCTTCCCGATCAGAATGCAGAGACAGTCCTCCTGAACTCGTACCGAAATCTTGGTATTCTCTGGAAGTATCGTCAGTAGTCAGCTGCCCGTTCGCGAAATTCGAACACTTCGCGAACAGAGAGCCGCTATGAATTGTGGCACGATGGTCAGCGCCGCAGCGTACCACGAGCCGAAATCCGTAAAATACATATGCTCGGCAGCCCCCGCGAGCTCCCTGTACCTCGGAGAACCCGGTCCGATCGGAGCCGTATACTCTCGATACGACGAGAAGTAGTCTGTGGCCGATCTCCCGAAGAACCAGGCTCGAAAATCTCGAGTTCCAGTGGTGGGTTTGTGATACGTCCATATAAACAGAAGGCGCCAGTGCCGCCGCTCATCTCTATGCGCGAACCATCCGAGAAGGTTACGGTGTACGGAGCCGCAGCAGTGGAACTGATCATAAAGCTCCGTTCGCTCAGCCGGTGAGCAGGCACCATGCTTGCTCTAAAGTTTCTGAGAGCTCAACGTGGGCTCAGCTTGACGCGAAGCTTCCCCCGATCGAGTGTGAGTCCCCCGAAGGAATTGGCTCGCAATTCTAGAGCCGGATACGAGACTTTCGAATGGAGCGTCAATTTCCGACGCCGGTGAATTCGATGCGACGACGTCTAATCTTCTCTCCCCACCACAGATCCGACTATGTCACGAGAACTCGAAGGTACCGGAAGAAGAGAGAGTGAAATTACATGTGTACGAAGGCGCCCTCAGAGGGAAACTGAGATGGGTGAGAATATTCTCCTGGACAACTACGAGCGTCTTCATCGCTGTGCAACCTGCTCTCATCTCAAAAATGATGGCTGACGGAGTCAGCCCCGCGGGTGAGTTTCCGGGTCGGAAGAAATCCTTGCCCCATAAATGTCAGATACATACGTCAAAAGGCCGTCATATGCGTACAACTCATGAAGAGCCGCATTCGCTCAGGCCCCGAAGTTCAAAAAATGTTTTTTTTCGCACTGACGTTTCTGAGCACCAGCTGACTGAGCCACAGTGGCGGATCCAGGGGTAGGGGGACAGTCGGTCGATCGCCCCCTTCCTCGAGACTGCCGACATCCCATACTCCGCATGTTATAGCAGGACCTAGGTATCGATTCGCCTCTCCCTCGATGCATTGTCCGCCCCCCCCCCTTGGAGGACTCCTGGATCCGCCCCTGCTGAGCCACTCGCGAGACGGTTAGACCAACTCATCAGATGCGGTCTTTTTCGAATAAGGTTCGGAGCTTGAATAGGTCGGACCTTCTCCCCGATTTTCTGAGGTGTCGACGGGAGAGGGGCGGAAAACGCACTCACGCATTCATCCTCGAGCACGCAGCAAGAATCTGCGGTCGCTAGGGGCTTGTAGCGGGCTCATCCCAGACTGTCTCAGACATCTGAGCAAATCGGATTCTCAAAACTGCCTGACATTACAGGATTCGCCTTGACAGCTGGCTTCGTGACACTTGGTATCTGCACGCCGCTACTCCTACACAGTTTTGCCAGGCCCTACGTGCTCGCGCTGAGATTCGAGCCGCACACGAAAATATTCGAGTGTGATACGTACGATGTCTTCGGAAGAACGAGAACGATGACATTCACGCAGAGCGACGTGACGTTCCCGGAGTTGCAAGGCCCGCTATCAAACTTGAAAATAAAGAACAAAAGCTACCTCATCGACTTCAACCAAATTCAGGTCAGTAGATGTTGCTCGGAAATGACTGTGTCTATTATTACTTCTAATACGCTCACACATCGCCCTTCATAATAACACAACGTAAGAGATTGAGACCTTCTCCACATTGAGACGTTGCATTAATGACGGAATTTTTCCCCAGGATGCTGATGCTTACGATTGTATACTGAAATACGATAAGCCGATCGACCTGAAGCTGAAAGTCGATACGAGAGGTGACAAGAGTTAGCAATGTACAATGTGGATGAAGCTAGATGTGCATTCTATGGAGAAACTTCGAAATAAAAAATAGGGAGCCTTGGAAAAAGATTTTCAGATTGGTGCTGAATTGAGGGGCACGCGTTCGTGAGAGTTTCAAGTATCGACTACCGGATCTTGACTCATTGAAAGACGCTCCGATATCGACGTTGAGAGTGATTCGGTCAAACTTCACCGGTTTGCTATTGCTTCAATATTATTTCAACTAACATTGAGCGGAAATCGGCTGAGAACGGCGGAATCATCATCTTGAGAACTCCCGGAGATCTATGGCGAGCCCCGAATTCATTGACGTAAGAGTGAGTCCGGGGACCGAAGTCCGATTTCCGGTGGAGAGCTCTTCATATCCCTCGGATCATGGTCAAACATGAAAGTTTCTGGCATTCGCTGCTCCGAGACATCCGAGCTCTCGGGGATCAAGTGGAATTGAAGGGAAAATTTCCGCCAGCATCGGCTCCTCGGAGAAAGTCACATCGGGAGTGGAGCTCTCAAGCAGTGGTATTCTGCATGATATACACGGAGAAGGCCATGCTCAAGGCAGGGAGCACCAGCACGTCCTTTCCGGACCGCAATTCTCCTTTGGGCGGTATGAATCTTTCGGCCGGATCGTCAGGGAGCTTCAGCAGACGTTTATTGACGAGAATCTCGATCGAAGCGCTAGGGTCGCCCTGGCTTGTCACGAGATAGTCCCATCTGGAACATATTGGCGACTTGAAGTTCCCGAGACACATTTGGATGAACGAGTAATGATGGTGATAGTCCACGGAGCGCGCACCTCTGCGTCTTCAGAAGTTGATGAGTGCTCGTCCGTAAGATGTACTTTTCCGTGGTGTGCACGTTGATGAACATCGCAGTAATTGTTCGGCGGTCCGGATCTCCGAAGCAGTAGCAACGCAGATGAGCGAACGATGGATTCGGGCGTATCGCTCTCACCACTTCACCTACGAGCGGAGACAGAGCAGAGGGATAATCCTCTTGGGGAACTCCCGGCGGGGAGTCAGCGAAAACCACGACGGTGAATATGATCTCATTGGACAACGTAGATTCTATCGTATCCACTTACCGTTCAAGAGCCGAAAAAGGTAGGCTACCCAGTATTCGGGGCTGGGTTCATACCGTTCACTCATATTGAACAACCTGTAACGTCCCCCGAACAAAGATTGTCTCATCACGTGAGAGATTCCCCTAGTTGCCGCCAGACCGAGTTTGTCAGCGTATCCCAAAGCCGCCACGAAACTTCGAGAAAGCCCCAGAGCACCACCTCCGAAAGCCGAACCGGACTCGGTGATCCACAGAGGAGTTTCTGTGGAGGTCTTAGGTCTATGAGACTTTCTTTACAACATCATCAGGAGGTTTTTGATTCAGACATCGACACATCCATTGCGAGCTTGCTCATCATGGTCCACGTCGTTTTGTATTTTGCTCACCCGGTTTGCGTGATGATTTCACGACCCGTTGGGCGGTCGAAATTTTTCTGTCGAGAAAATCGAGAGTCGTCGGGTGGATCAGTCCCCTCCACGTTGTGTTGCTTCCGTTGACATAATACTGGTGGAAACTGGCTGCAAAGAGGTGCTTTCCCGCGAAGCTGATCGTTTTGTTCAAGAATTCCCTCCCGAATTTCTGCAAACGGCTCACATCCGGTGCTATAATCTTCGAGCCATGGAGCGGCGATTTGTTCAACTTTCGCCGCAGGGCCTTGACAGCTTTACCAATGTCGATACCTGCGATGCGGGAGGAAAACGATGATCACGATCACGGGAGCGACTCACGAGAGGGTCGATGTGGGGGGCAGAGTACTTCGGTATTCCCGTCTTGAATCAATCGATCGATGGCTCCCTACCTGAAATGTTGTAGTTACGCCGCGGCTCGTTTCCGACGGAGAAGTCGATGCTGGTGAAGTTTTTGGAGATGATGTAGTCGACGAGCTGGAACGCATTCGAAGAGTTCCACTTGCCATCCGAATGAAGGTGTGAATTCAGGCAGAAGAGGAGCCGCGACCCTGAATCATCGGTGAACTTGAGCAAGCGATCGATATCGTCCCCGTAAATCGTGTAGGCGTCTGGAGGAACAATCCCTTTCTTGTGTTTTTTCTCCTTCCGACGATGTTGGGATCTGCCGGGCAACGTCGCGTATCGTCATGAAGAGAGGGATATTGACAGAGTCCCATGAATCTTCCGAGGGTAGTGTTCTTCCGAGGGAAATTCATCGAGCGAGGAAGTGCTTGCGGTTGAAAGGGATAGTAGTGAGAAATCGCGAGAAATGACATCTTACCCCCCGTCGCGCGGACGCTTCTCGGCGAAAATGGTATGGTCGCTGAGGATCCCTCCGAAACGCACGTAAATGGGAGCGAGTAGCACCATTGCTTGTTTTAATTTCTCGTCATCGAAGTTTACCATCGTCCATTCTTGTTTGGTGATAATCGACGCGTCTATCGTATGACCCAGGAACAGTGAAGACATTGGTGGTCGCGATGTATTCCCGTAGTCGACTCTAAAGTAAATCACTTGAGGGTCGCCGGCAATGTGAGGCAGCACCGAAACGACAGCGAGTACGATGACGATCATCAGAACCAGTAGAATACCTAATCTGCTGTGGAGGGAGGAAGGGTTATCCAGGGATCGAGCCGGGGCGACTTGTAAAAGGATTGACCATCATTGCCAAAGTACTCGCATCGCTGGCCGGAATGGCTTCGAGGGATCTTTAGGAATAATGCCATCCGACCACGTCTTCGAGCTCGAGGACGCATCGAAAAAAGATCTTTGCTTCTTTTTGGTCTTCCCCGAAGGCTCCCTTTTCATATCTTATGTCATAGAGTCGATCGACCGATCGATATTGCGGGAGCCATCGGTTCGTTGTCATTCATAGTTGACAGATCAACAGATTCTTCGAGGAACAACGAGCACTTTTGAGGAGCCGAACATTCTATGGGGAGGATCTCTTTATCTCGAAAAGGGAGTGACCACTTCCCGCGCGATCCGAAGTTCTAACTCTGGACAACGCGGTAGATGCTTGGAGACTGTGAAAAATGCTTGCTACTCCTCCCAAGACTGTGATGTCTCATCGCTCTGTATTTCAGGAAGTTCAACTCGTTGGCTGAGAGTCCTGTCTCGTGTAATGTCCAATCAATGACAGCTATCGATGAATTGCTTAGTAATTGAACTTACTCGGCAGTAACTCCCTCGAGCGCTGAACTTCAGCAACGAGAACTGCAGGCGAACAAAATGGCGCGACCTTTGGCCCGGAGCCCGTATTGAGTCGGTGATAGCGTTGTTTGCTTTCTGAGAGAGTGAGCTACCTACATCAGAGCGTACTCGAATTATGTATCAAACCAAAACGGAAGAGCAAGGAGGTTCCTCGAAGACCGTCGCCTCCACACCTTTGAAGATCAATTCAGAAGCGTCGTCGCTGGGAGCCCGATCTCTCGATCGGAGTTCCTCCGACCACGTAGCGGTTTCAGAGCACTCGGATCGGTGGGGATTCCCTCAGGCATATGATGAAATAATCACTCGTTCAACAGGTCGAGATCTGTTATGAAGCTCCAGAATAATTGAAACAACCAGAGACAATTAAGTCGAGGGCACGTCTCAAATAGGTATCTCATCGAGCCCAGCCGCTATTAGGCAATGAAGAGCCCACCTTGAATTCACTGAACAGACTGCGACTCTTTATTAATCATGACTAGCTCTATTCGATTCGATAACCTCAGAAGAGGAACTTCTCAAAGGAGTCCGTATTTGTACAAGCGACCTCGAAACCTACCCTTTCCCTTCTATCATATAACCGGAAGCCACAAATGTTCTCCCTCCGGATCGATTATTTACATGTTCGATATAGAATGAATGTCGACCCTTGTGAAGAGTTAGTTTTTCTTTACCTATTTCTCCTGTACAATCACTGTCTTCGAGTTTCAAATTGCGGAAGGCGATTCCGATAAATTACCCTGTTTCATGTTTCTGGTCTGAATGAGTGACTCAATTCGGACATTCGGACCTGATGGCAAGGAGCCGGCTAACCCCGTGGGGAAAAGCGGGAACGACCACCGGCCGGCTCTTCGAGGAACGGGAGCAGATATTCGGGAGGCAGACCCATGACCAGAAGAGAGGGGCCCGCGACGCGATTTGAGAGCCTTCAGACATCCACGATCGGTTCATCGTCATCATCGGAGTCGTCCTCAACGTTCATCAGATCGTGCTTGCTGTCTTCGTCGAAGCCGAGCTGATTTTCGGGGACGTCGTGGATCTTCCGCAAATGTTTCTTGAGATCGAAGTTCCGACAGAATCCCTTGCCACACTCCTTGCAAGTGTAGGGCTTCGTGTCGTTGTGAGTATGCATGTGGAAAGTGAGATTGTAGATCTGGTGGAATGCCTTATGGCATATATGACACTTGTAGGACTTCTCGCCGGTGTGAGTCAATCTGTGATTCTTGTAGTTCCCTTTCTGATGAAAACCTTTGCCGCAGTATTCGCACACCCACGGCTTGAATCCTACGTGGATTCGGATGTGCGTGCTCAGAGTCGAGCTGCGGTTGAATGCCTTGCCGCATGTGGTGCATTTGTGCGGCTTCTCCGATGTGTGGATGATTTTATGCCGACACAGGGTGCTCGCCTGCCTGAAACCTTTGCCGCAGACCTTGCAGATGAAAGGCCGCGCTCCCGTATGCACCGGCATGTGTCGCGTCAGATTATAGTGCGCGTTGAACACCTTCCCGCATTCCGAACAAGGAAACGTTTTGTTGCTTTCCTTCTTGTTCGAGGTGCTGGCTGCCGTGGGAGACTTCGTGTCGGACGATGTCACGGCCGGGGTTTCGGTTGTGGCTTTCGAGGCTTCGTACCAGGGTCTGTAGTCTTCAGTGGACTGCACGTAGGTATTGAGCATGGACCCCTGGAGGTTGAACAGCATCGTAGGGTAAAAAGGAAAATAAGGAATCTGCAGAGGATCCACAAGAGGATTAAGCATCTGTTGAGGTGTCGAGAGCGGTCGCGCTGGAGCACTGGGTCCAATAAGGCGCTCGATGGAAAATGTGAGCGACGCGGCCTGATGAGGTGGAGAGTCTGAAGTCGTCATCTTTCCTGCAAGATGGAGAAAGCGAATTATTGGTCTGGGAACGATCTGTGACGCCGCGAAGCGAGATGGACGGAACGAGCCTGCTCCTCGTTCCTTAAGACTGAGCGCTTCCCCCGATATAATGAACGCCAAACTTTCGCGCGAAGCTTTGACCGGAGCAGAGCGGACCTCTCTGTCTCTGAGCACACGAAATTTTCCGGAGGATCGATTCATCTTTATTCGGAGTTATGGAGATGGAGTTCTTCAAGTTTGAGTATAGCGCTCCAGCAAAGCACCATTTCTGGCAATCGTCGGAAATCCGCTACATTTTACTGAGCCGCACGAGGTGCAGATTGCATGGATCTGCACACTCCGATATCGAAGCGGAGACAGACGATCAAACCAAGCGAACAAGAGGAGAAAAAGCAAGTGAAAGAACAAACCGCGGTCCCGAACGTTGCGCAGCATGTTCCGAATTGCAATGCAGACTGACAAGCAGACAGGAAAAAGAGTAGACACATGATAAGGAACAAAACAAGCTCGCGGAGGTCGTTCTTTATTTGTTGTTGATTGTGTGTTGTTGATTGTTTCTGTCTCGAAACGGCGAACCCCACCCTCGACCCCCCCGCACGCTGGGCACCACTGAGTGAGCAGAGTGACGGCCCAGCGTCGCCACTTGCGCGGCCCGAGGCCGAAACCCAGGGCGCTGGTAGGAACATGATCAGCGCCTCCGAGTGGTTGTCGAATCGAGAGGAATGACGTTATTCGGTGATGAGATGAAGGAAAATAATCTTGTCTTCAAATCGATGACAGCGCTCGATGGGGTCGGGGGACCGAGGGCTTGAATGGCGATATAAAAGACAGCCATCATGAAGAAAGGGAAAGATGAAGAATGACGCGCTGAGGAAGACCTCAATAAGAACTAATCACAAAACTCATCGGAATTCCTTTCCCCCCTCGAGAGTCTGTTGAAACTTTTGTGTCTCTCAGTGGATGAGTAACTGAGTGAGTGACGTTGCTAGATCCTTTGTGTGCTAGTTCGCGAAGGATCGTTCGTTTTTTCCCCTGGTTTCTTTCTTCTCTGCTCCGTCGGTCCGCAGTCAATTCGTCCCGCAGCTGAAACGACCCCATTATCCTTGCCAGGCTCTCAAACACGTCTCCCCACTCAGAGCGCTCTCTCTCTCGACGGTCGACCAGTCAGCGCGTCGGCTTGCTCTCAATAGATCCGTTATTCTCGCTACAGCGAGAGAATCAGAAGTTGGGTCCATAGCGCGACATGCAATCCCCGAGGAAAAACCCGAGGCTGGGAGCCAAGCGCCGTCCGGGGTGAAAACAGGTTTGCGACGGAGGAGGAGAAGGATTTGCGAGTGTTTATCAAGGACTGCGGGAAGACTCTCCCCCGAGTCACTTTGTGACTCTGCGGTATTTCCTATCGATACTACCGGCTACAGAAAGGAGGACACAGAGGGCCCGGCTCGCCAATGAGGACAAAGGGAGAACGTCCGCGCAGAGGCGGGCCATGTTGGGACGGAGGAGGAGGAGTCTTGAGTAAGGTCTCCTGCAGACCTTTTGCCGTCGAAATAACGCTCGGCTGCGATCGGAAGAACTCGTTCGGGGTAGCTCCCGGGGCAGACGTCAGTAGAGTTTTGTTTGCCCTCGTTTTCCTCGAGAGTTGTCCCACCTGCTCCCTCCGAATCGTTTGCCTCCGCTCCGACAATCTTTTCTTCTTCGTCTTCTCTTCATTCGCTCTTCCCTCTCTGCCCCGAAAATAAACATTGCAATGATACTCCGCTTGGGGAGCCGGTGTATCCGATCAGGAGAGAAGACTACGGCAACGATCTATCGAACGGCAAAGGGAATAGAGAAAGTGTTTGAGTTTTGCTCTGAGAGTGAGAGCTCTGCAGTTTGCGTCGACTCAGTTCCGATCCGTAGCTCTTGCCCCAGACAGCTGAGGAATTTCTCGACAAAATGCAGTGGTGCCGCCTCTACCTCCACGTCGAATCATTGATAGATTGGAGAATTCATAGGTAGATGTTGTCAGAAAAGACCCCGTATCACATGTTGGACAACGATTCAGCGAACCGATCGAGCACAACCTCGAATTCCATCAGGGTCGGCGCATCTGCCAAACGCGCGTATGAAGTATGAAACTCGGATTTGGAATGGAACACCACCGGTTCGTGCCGTATGCCTACCATGCATAAGGGACGAGACCACGGCTGAGCCTGATTGTGGTCATGTCTGATCTCTTTACCTAGTAGACGAAGTGAGCTCGACGGCAAAGGGGCTACCAACCTGAAGGCGAGCTCGATGAGCAGCGCGACAATGTAGCTGCGAGCAGGCACATCGCCCGAAGTAGGACTTCCGATTCGAACGAAATGAACTTTCAAAGATCGAGAGCAACGGATTTGCGAAATGCGCACCGAGCTTACCGTTTACTAAATGAGCAAGCATGCTAGGGGCTGAGGCTGTATGGGATGTTCAGGCCGCCGGCGCCCTCTCCGACGGGCGGAGCCAGTCCTCGCATTATGCTAATACTTGTTACTTCTAGCATTGCGCCAGATGGACATTAACTGGGCGCGCAGGAGGTGAAGCACGACCCCGAAGCGAGTGGCTAATGTATGCTTCAAACTTCAATTACACTTCGATGGAGCTCAGGGTGACCATGCCATCATAGGGATGGATGAAGCCAACAATAAAACCTCGGCTTTTAGAGTACACCGCTACACATCTGCAACTCTCTCATCCTCTCGTGTGGGCCCGCTCGCGGCGAGACTAGTTAGCTGCGATTCGATAATGTGCATGTTACAGGATCGGAACTGAGTCCTACAGGTAATTCGTGAACTGATGGGAGAGCCGAAGATACGGGAAATGATTCCTGAGAATACGTGGCGAATGAGCGTTCTAATCTACCTCGCTGGCTTCCGTCGAGTCTAGTCGTCTCCCTCAGGGTCGAGAAAAAGCTCGAACTCGTTTTCACGCCCCGCAACGTGGGTCCACGTTCACGTTTCGATGGGAAGGACTAGCCGAATGTCGAAATCCCGCGGAACCGGAATCGCTCAGGTCGTCCCGACGCCTCCGATATGGCTCTTACTCACTTACAGCGGGCTTCCCAGGAGTGATCCGACCCTTGATTTGTCAATACTCAGCGTGAATCAGGGGCTTCATAGTCGTACGTATTTCAGACGATGAAGAAGTAGTTGTTAGAGCTGAATGCTCCTAAGCGAGGTAACGGGGTATAATGTCCCCAAGGATGAAATTGCTACGCCTAGACATCCGACCTAGAATGTCTCGATTTTTTGAAGTCATGGAATGGACCTATCAGAGCGCAACTCCGCCCTACGGATAAACGGAAAAGTAATCGAAGCGGTGTTGTCCGAGTCAGACGTTATTCCCCATATCAGATGGTCGACCTAAATCAGTGAGAATTGTAGAATCTCAGTTTCGCGGGACGTTATTTGTTGAGGAGACTCGGCGCGCAATTCTGTTCAGAACAACGCGGACATGTCCCAAAATCGAGAGCCACCCCTTCGGAGGCTGTCACTTCACTTTCCGCCGAGTTCTTTGCTTGAGGGAAGGTCAAAAGCTTGAGAGCGGTATGCGTTCGAGAGCGTCTCTGCTCCGGAGCTCAGCTACAGTCCACAGTATCACGAGTGAGATGGTAAGTATTTAGAATTTCATAAAACAGTCACGAGGTGAGTTTTTTTGCCAGATGTCCTGTCACATGCGACGATTTCGAACAAGGGCGAGCTTGAGAGCGGATCCAACGCATCGACGCTGGTCAACCTCGATCGGACTTCGAGTTCCATTTCTGACGAGAACCCAATCAAGCCTCGGATTGAGATATTGAGACTTCATTCTGATCCGGAGGCCGAATCGGTGGATCCTATCCGGGAAACGGATCTCCAAATCCACCAAGAGGTGACAAATTGCACCGAACCCCGAATCGGACCTGGATCAGTGGTCGATCCGGGTGCGCCAGCATAATGTTCAAGCAACAACAAGTAATTCCTCCTCCTCGCCGACCACAGCACCCTGCACTAGGGATGAAGATGTTTGGATGAAAGGAGCAGGCGGCAGCCTCATGAATCTCGTAGTCGCAACCATCTGTCACGGAGTTCATCGCCATCATCATCTTTCAGCATGTTGACTTGTTTGCAGCACGCAGCTCTCGGATTTCACCGCCAGTTAGCTCTCCTGTTTAGATGTTGTCCGGCATTGTATCTGAGTGAGTTTACACGAGTTCTCAGATCGTTCGCGGTAGAATTCGAGAAAAATGGACGTTTCGCTCAGGGACGCTGTCATATGCACGAGGATCCGCTGAAATCAATCGTTCAAAGCCAGCGATGCTTGCGTTGTGCAACCGGGAAAGCGGAGACCGACGATCTCAATTCCGATAATACAGTACTTTCTATAATACATACAAGCGGTTGCCAACCGGTTCCGTCGGCTACGGCTCAGTTCTCCGCGGAGTTCGTCGACTCGGATACTTCGATTGATACTCGGATATTGATAGCTCGACAATTTCCTTTTTTGTCACGAATAGCGAGAAAGAGGAACAGGGAGCTGGAGCAGAGCACGGCTCTTCTGTCAAGGAGCAGCCGAAGCGAAGTGTGAATCAATCGCAGTGACGTACAGGGAATTTCAATCATGGTTCTGGTCGAGATGTCTGCCCTCAGGAGCGGCATCCGTCTTGGTTTCCTCACGCCCATCGCTCTACATATGTACATGCTCGCTTGTTGTTGTCTGCGGCGGCGACGGCGGCGGCAACATGTGTTCCCCCAGAGTTATGGGAGCGCTCAGTGGTGCAGACACTGCACTGCTTGCGAGTTCTTTGTGCTACGAGCGACCTCCGCATAAAGAAGTCATTAGAGATAAGCTCCTCTCTCTCCAAGAGCTCACTCTTTTCTGGTTGCTCTCTCACTTCATCTGCCGCCTCCTTCTCTCGGCCGGCGCTCCGACTACTTCGACTCAAAGGAACCAGAAGACAGACCGATCGAGCTAGAGCACCACTTCGGTTCCGAGCACAAAGGCAGCTCCATTGTCACCCGAAGTTCACATAACTCGCCGCTCTGGCTTGTTCCCTTGCCTCGCTGCTTTCGATGCGTCCATCTCCCCCTCGCTCCTGTCACAGTAGTCTCTCAATCTGATCGAAACAGCTCTCTATTGCGGCCTCGAACCCACAAAGTCGCGTGATCACAACATTCACAACGTGTCTATCCATCAAAATCTAA